TAAAACAATTTACGCCTTTGAATGCAGACCACAACCTTTGATACCATTGGGAAAATTTAGAAGTATGCTAAAACAATCATTTTTCTGACAATTTTTTTCAACGTCCTTCGTTTCATTCTCAACCAAAAGCAGTTCCTTTCCTTCTTCTTCTCCCTTCAAAGAAGGCAGTAACTTTGTTTCAGATGCCAGAAAAATTTATATAACTGAACACTGTACACTAATCTCATAAATTTCAACAAACATATTCCTGCCTTTCCAGTTACTAAAGTTTTCTAAAAAAAAATTGACTCAAATTTCGCTCGTTAATATTTTAATAAGTGAAGATAAACAAAAATACTTATGAACTAAAAAGTTCGAACAATAAGCTTTAAAAAAAATTGAATTTGAAGAAAAAGTAGGCAGAAAAAAGTATTGCTTTGCTCTATGAAGATACGTATAAATGGCGATATAATCTGTCACGACAAAACGAGTACCATCCGGAACTGAGCATTCCACATAAATTCATTAGTTCTTATTCACTATAAATTCATCTTTAAGACAGTTTTCTCCTTTTGACTTTAAAATCATCATATTATTGAAAATTTTGTAACGGAAATTACTAAATTTTTTAATATATCTAGACAAAAAAAATTAAAAATTAATGCTTTTCATGATAAACAAAAAAAAAAATGAGTGTCTACGAAATGTAGAATGTAGTTATGGTCATTAAAAAACGTCATTAAAAAATATGGCTTTTTTGACTTTTTTACAAATTAAAAGTTTTATTTATAATAACTGAAAGTAAAAACAACTTTTCATCCTTTAAGTAAGACTTTAAAATTACATAAATATGACTTGAAATAAAATGACCAAAAAAGTCCCTTTCCAAAGCTCTTTTTTTCAGAAAGGTATGAAAATTTTGTGACTTTATCAGGACTTAACTAAAAGTCACGTTGGCAACATGTACTTCATGCTTTGCTAATCAAGTACTTTGAGCTATCGAAAGAACTTCAACCTCCAGCTTCCCACCCATTCATAATTAGTATCGGAACAGCACAAATAATGTCGTAACTCTTGATCATCCTTCTTCCTTATCATTCTATCCAAAACATAAATGCTATCCATTAAACCACTAAGGTTCACTTACTTTTGCATGTATAAATTAGTAACAACCTCCATATTACAAAAAAACATTCATAAAAGACAGAATGCGCAACAACAAAGCCGACAGGTGGATGATGACCATTACTATCAAATATTTTACAACTGAAGAACAAAAATTTGAATTCAGTCAATGCTAAAAAACCTTCAAACAAAAAAGTACTGAAATCTACGCAAGAATTGCAGATAAAAGTGGGCACAAAATTATGCCAATGACAAATTTGAAAAAGTAAAACAGAATCACTAAGGATTAAAGCAAGTAAGCAATTCTTTTGCGTAATAACTACGCTTACGAGTAGCAGGTCTTAACAGTGCAAAATATAACTGACAGTGCCTTCTTGGAACCATAAACCAAAAAGTAAGCTTTTTTCCACGTCAAAAGAAAGAAACAGCTATTTTTGCTGCTCATAAAAAGCAGTTTAAAATAGAACTCAATAAGCACGTATTCTATGTCTTTACGTTCTTCTCTCATAATCCTCCTTTCTCGGCATAAGTTTCTAGATTTACCAGAAGCAAACAGTTGAACCAAACGGTTCAAAACAAGAGTGGAGAAAACACCGTAGACTATAGAAAAAAAAAACCTTATCCGTTATTGTACACTGGTGTAAAATAACTTTCAAAGTATTATGTATCAGTAGCAACAAACTACAATACTCAAAAAAAAGGTACAAAATAATAATAATAATGATGGTAGAACATTATCAACTATAGTTGAATAAGCCAAACGAAAGAAAACAGATAAAAGATTAGCATATGAAATAATTTTTATTGCTGTTTTAATTTCACTGCATTTATTTGCTATAAAAATTTTATTTTGTCTTTTTTTAGCATATCAGTTCTTCGAGAACAAACAACAACTAAATAACTGGGAATCAAAAAACACTTCATCAAACTTTTCTGTTATTGTGCAAGGAATTATTTTCGAACTCTAAGAAGAGTTGAAACAGAAAAAAAATAAAGTACATAAAGATGTGTAGATAAAAAGATGACAAAAGATTTTTTTTGTTTATAATAACACATTCTTGAACGTTGTCTAGCCCTTGAAAAAAAAAAAAAAAAAAAAAGTAGAAAGCTCATTAAAATACCTTATAAATAACTAAAGCATCTAATTAATATTAGTGGTTTCTTTAGTTCATTGCAAATAACCAGTTAACCATGCCACCAGTACAAACTATGTCGTATTTGAAATGTACAGTCTTAAGCGTTTGTGATAAGCGTCTTGCTACAATTCCGTCATCATTTTGCATTTCCTTAGTTTAGCCTAAATGACAATTATTTTTCATTGTTTTTTTTTGCCTCACTCATTCAGCAATTTCTGCTTATTCAAACCATAAATTAGTAGGTTTTAGTAGAGTCAAAAAATGTGAATGTAAGATTATTACAATAAGCTTCTGTTTGAAAAATAAACAATACCTTTGAAGAAGTGTAAATATCAGTAAAATAAAATGTATACATTTCTGCTATTTACCTTAACGCCAAACACTTTCACACGTAAAAATTTTTTTTAAAAAAGAACTAAAGTTGATCTAAAAATTTATTAGCCAAAAAATTTTAAAGAT